GCAGGAGTAAATATTAGAGAGGACAGGTGTGCAAACGGCACACTCTCATGTTTGAAATCCTCTTGCCATCTCTTTTTTTTTTAAAAATCCTCTATCTCCTTCCTGCAAGAGGTAGGCGCCGAAGGAAGCCTTTCAGCCCATCGAGTCTGCTCTGCTATTTATTGAGATCATTGCATAATCTGATATTCCTCAACTCCACATTCCTGCCTTTTCTCCATATTCTTTGATTCCTTTACTGATTAAAAATCTACTTAAGAAAGGTTTGGAGGTGGTGGTAGCGTCCTTACCTCTGAGACATGAGGCCTGGGTTCAAGTCCCACCTGCTCCAGAGGTGTGTAATAACATCTCCTGAACAGATTGTTTAAAAGTATCTAAAAGTCTGGCATTTTCAAGGAGGAGACAATGGCCCAGCCTCTATTGCTGTCTGCGATTTAACAAAAATTCCACATGTTCACTACCCTGGGAGGGAAGAAATTCCTCCTCCATCTCTGTCCTAACTGGGTGATCCATTAGCCTAAGGTTACTTGCTGTCTCCTTGCTCTCGTGAGTGCACAGGCTGTTATATTTTTAGAATAAAATTGTACTAGTTTAGTCTGACAATTGTCCCATAACTTCAAATAATTGCATACAATATATGTACATTGTGAGATCACCCTCACTTTGCAGGAAAATATGAAGAATGAGCTGGCTTTTTAAAAGAAGTCAAGATCTTCAAGTTAAATTAAATGTGACAATATGGGCCTTTAGGAAGGATTTGTCTGTCCTGGTTCTCTTGAAGGGGAGCAGTGCAGACCTGGTGCTGAGGTGTCTGCTCCATGGAAAGCAGAGTAAATAGCTTTGGGTCTTTTTTTTAAAGTAGACAAAAGAAACATGAGTGGGCGGAGTCAGGCTCAAACAGACTCAGTTTTAATTTTGCTTCCAGTTGTTGAAGTTGGGGTTTTGGAATAGAACCGGCTAGATACAGTAATCTCTCTGCCTCTGCAAAACACTCGAGGTCTCTCTCTTCTGTTCGATTCATTCTGTCGGTGTTCCTTCTCCTGTACTAGAGAAGATAGCAAGTGATGGAAATCTGTTTTGCTGAATTTGGCTTTGCCAAGGTTGTTTATGGGGATGCTGCTACATTGGAACAGTTGATGAGTAGTAGTTAAATAATGCCTTATTTTGTTAAGTATTTCAATAGAGCTGAAGTTATGCCAATTCTTTTGTTGTATTTTAACTGTGGTGTAAGAATAAAGTATATTTTGCTTAAAGCCTAGTAATTTGACCAAGCGAATCACATTTACAATGCAGCACCTTACATTTGCCTTGAAATAAGATAAAAGTTAAGATCTAGTCTATCTCCTTGCTGTGTTTTGACAGGGTTTGGTCTGATCCATAACATAATGAGAGCAATAAAACACACAAGATGACTTTATTGTTAATTTATTGTGAAGTATCCTTTTTTAATGTTATTATTCAAGCATTCTTTTTACTGTAGTCAATTAAATGGAAAGGAGGGTGGGAAATTGTAGGAAATTTCTTTTCGCAAAATAGTTCAAGAAATTTGATTAGTACACCCATCCCTGCTTAAAATCAAAACATGCCCAAAGATCAGTTACTTCATCTGATTCAGTGTTAATGACTTTAGTTACCACCTAATTTCTGGGAAGAAACGTTGTTGAGCTCAGCTAAGTTAGCTGCAGTATTTGAGTATTTGTCAATTTATACTGCAAGGATTTGAATATAAGAAATTTGCGCAGGAACAAGAAAAATATCTTGAATTTCACAGTTTCAGAATGGCACAGTGGCTCAGTGGTTAGCACTGCTGCTTCACCGCGCCAGGGCTCCAGGTTCAGTTCCACCCTCGGGTGACTGTCTGTGTGGAGTTTGTACGTTCCCCCCGTGTCTGCGTGGTTTCCTCCCATACTCCAAAGATGCGCAGGTTAGGTGGATTGGCCATGGGAAATGCAGGATTACAGGGATAGGGTAAGGAGGTGGGTTTGGGTGGGATGCTCTTTGAGGGGTCAGTGTGGACTCGATTGGCCAAATGGCCTGCTTCCACACTGTATGGATTCTATAATGTCAACTTGCTCCACGCCAATTAATTTTTATAATGTAATTTCACTTGTAATGTTGAGAAAGGCAGTAATTTCCATGTCCAGCAATGAATAAATAAATTCTAGATTCTTTTAAAATGAGCAGTTAATCTGTTTTGGTGATGTTGGTCCAGGGATAAATATTGTCATGAAGACCCCAGGAGAGCTCCCCTGTTGTTTGTGAAATGGTCCTCAGATCTTTTCACCTCACTTAAGAGTGCAGGGAGGGTTCAGTATCTCATCCTAAAGATGGTACAACCAACGGTGCAGCACTGCCTTGCTAATACCCTGAAGTGTTGGCCTCGATCATGTAATGGAGTTTCTGGAGTTGGGATTAAAACTTCTGATTCTGAAAAGAAGTGCTTCCCAATGTGTCATTGGAAATGTAACAAAACTGTGCATTCGACTTTATAATAGATATTTATAAATTAGGAAAAGTAAGCCATTTGACCTGTCTGGTCCACTCCACCCTTTAATAAAATCATCTGATCGTGGCCTCAGCTCCACTTTGCTACTTATCCTCAATATCTTTTGAATCCCTTGTTGGCGAAGAATCCATCTAACCTGGCCTTAAAAGTGTTCAACGATCAAGCCTCCACTGCTGCCTAGAGAAATGATTTGCACAGGCACTCTGTCTTTCTGAGAGAAAATTTTTCTTATCATCTCCAGCTTAAATTGGAGATGCTTTATTTTTAAGCTCTTTTCCCCCACAAGGAGAAACATCTTTTTATGATTGCTGTCTGAAGTTCCCTCAGGATCTTGTATGTGCCCTTGTACAGCAGTCACTGAAGCCAAGCATGCTGGTGAAACAAGCAGTAAAGAAGGCAAATGATATGTTGGCCTTCGTAGTGAGACGATTCGAGTATGGGAGCAAGGATGTCTTGCTGCATTTATATCGGACCTTGGTGAGACAACATCTGAAATATTATGTGCAGTTTTGATTTACTTATCTGAGGAAGGGTGTTCTTGCGATAGAGGGAATGCAGCAAAGATTTACCAGACTGATGGTGGGTCTGACATATAAGGAGAAATTGATTCGATGAGCTTTATATTCGCGAGAGTTCAGAAGAATGAGGAGTGATCTCATAGGAACCTATATATTTCTAATAGGACTCGATAGGGTAGGTGCAGGAAGAATGTTCCCGATGGCATGGGTTTCCAGAAGCAAGAGTCACATCTAAGGAAATGGGGTAAACCATTTAGGGTTGAACAGGTGAAATTTCTTCACGCAGGGAGTGGTTAGCATGTGGAATTTGCTACAGTGGAAAGCAGTTGAGGCCAAACATTGTCTGATTTTGAGAAGGAGTTGGATGCAGCATTCAGGACAAAAGGGATCAAAGGATATGGAGAGAAAGCAGGAATAGGCTATTGAGCCACGATCATGATGAATGGTGGAGCAGGCTCAAAGGGCTGAATGGTCTACTCCTGCTCCTATTTTCTATGTTAATAAGATCGCCTCTCATTCTTCTGAATAGCAAAGGATAAAGGCCCTGCCTGTCTAAACCTACCTCTTAAGACAGCTCCTTCATCCAAAGAATTACTTCATTGAATCATCCGTCAGCTATTTCTAAAGCACTTAAATGCAGGGAACAAAACTATAGACAGTACTCCAGATGTTGTCACCAGTAGATTTTAAGCAGATGTAATCTAAAATCTAAAACCTAAATACTGGGAGTGCTGGGAAAATGAAGAAGAGTCATATGAGATTTAAAACATTAATTCTGTTTCACTGTCCACAGATGCTGGGGGCCCTGCTGAGTTTCTCTAGCATTTGCTGTTTTTATTGTAGAAATGTGTATTTTTCAGGTAGTTGAAGTCATGTGCGGTATGGAAAGCTTTGAAAGTACTCATTCTTATCGCAGGTTGTAACTGGTGTGCAGCATTTCAGGACACCCAACGTGCCTGCAATTCAAATTCCACTGCCCCATCTCTTTCTGCGGCCCTGCAACTTCCTCTGCTTTAGCCAAGACTTGAATGGAAGCAAGTAAATAGTAGTTCTGATGAAGGGCTATTTTGATGTGGAGCAAGAAGAGAAGGTATGACATTCTGGCTTCAGCCATGGAATCTTGTTACAGGCAGCACAGCACTGTAATAGAAACCTTTCTCAAAACCTGTTGGACTACTCATTGTTAGTAGGAACTGCTGATGCTGGAGAATCTGAGATAACAAGGTGTACAGATGGATGAACACAGCAGGCCGAGCAGGAAAGCTGACGTTTCGGGTCTGGATCCTTCTTCAGAAATGAAGACCCGAATCCAGACGTGAAACGTCAGCTTTCCTGCTCCTCTGATACTGCTTGGCCTGCTGTGTTCATCCAGCTCTACACCTTGTTGTCTTGGACTACACGTTGTGCCACGATTGGAAGGAAATGAGAGGTCAGTAGGTACATGAGTGAGAGAATTTACTAACTTAGCTAAATGAGATTTTTAGACCTTTTTGTTTTTAACTTGTTCATAGGATGTGAAAGTCCCTGGCAAGGCCAGTATTTATTTTCATCATTAATTTCCCTTGAGAAGGTGGTGGTGAATTGCCTTCATTAACCTTTGCTGCCCATGAGATTTAGATTCAGCCAGTATGCTATTAGAATGCTTGAATTTGGCCTAGTAATCCTAACTTGGAACTATATTTGATTCCTTCATTGTCACTAAGCCAAAATTCTGGAACACACTAGCAGCACTCTGGCTGGATCTATATCAGGATTGTGTTTTGGCAGGAATCTTACAGGTGATGGTGTTTCCATGAAACTGCTTCATTTGTCCAGTTTTAACTGATGTAGACCATGGTTTTGGAAGGTGCTGTCAAAAGAGCCTCAATGAGCTACTGCAGTGCATTCTGTACATGCAGCCAAAGTGTGTCGATGCTGAAGGAAGTGAATGCACTAAACATTTCCTTTGTTCATCTTTTTCAATATTTTTGTTCTTCCAGAGATATATTCTGCCTCTTCTAGTGGCCAGCAAAGAAGATAAAAAGCATCTACAGAGGATTGAATCTGGTGTTACTGAGCTAAGTGGGACCATAACACAGACAGGTGAAGGCTAATATTATAATAATTCCATGTTAAATTTCTTCCACTTTTAATTCTGTAAGGAAAGTTAAGTTTTCTGATATGCAACCTTTCAAAATTAAAAGTTGAAGCTTTGTAACTTCTTGTTCTTGTGAAGCTGCCTGTTTACTGTCAATAGTTTGTTATCTTTTAGTGAAAAGCTTTTAACCCCCAACATTTTGATGAGATTCCACAACCTGAATTGTGCCTCTCTAGTATGATGTGCATGGACATAACTTGAAGAAACTGAATCATGATGCATATCTAAGGTTCGATGTGTGATTCTCATCTGCAAGGATACTTTCTTTCCCAATTAATTTTTTTTTTTTCCCCCAGGTCTGACCTTTAATTTTGAGAACTCTATAAGAGTCATTGTGTAACTGGAGCTGCCTTGATAGCGCAGTAGGAAATTGCTGGAATGAATACATATGTTCGCAAAATTAAATGTGTCAACTCAGACAGTTTGAATAGACGTAGCATCTGGAACAGTTGGATTTGTGAAATTGTTATTGTCGATTAGCTTTCGAAGTTGGGTTGACGAGCCAAAAAAACAAAGCAACTTGCGCTTGCAATGACCATTTCTTTGTTTATCCTTAGTGTTGAGCCAAAAAAGGATCTCTTGAATTTTTCCAGCTACTTTAATGACTTACATAGCCCTTTGTTGAGAGTAACCTTAGCATGAGAGCGATTTAATCATCTTGACTGAAATGTGAGTAGGGGAAATATTTGAAAATTGCTGTAATGATGTAAGCATTTTATTTTGTGCTTTTTAAAGCAATTATGCTGCACAAGTTGAGAACTTTTCTCTCTAAATAGCCATGCTGACCATGCCTTGGTACACAAGGTTGGCTTGTGTTTTCTTCTTTACATATAAGCCATATGGCAGTCTAAGAAATGGATGGTTTATTATTGAGGGTAACCACCTTTGGAATCTAGATCTACACTGTAACGATTGGTTGCAGCAGTTTTGAAAATGAATGTTCCCAAGCTGGTCACTGTACTGCAAGGCAGTATAATGATAACTTTGATCAAAATTGTTATTTTCCTAATTTCAGAAGAAATGTCTTTGAAACCACAGCTACTTGTTTTACCAATTGTAAATATTGGCAAAAGCGCCCAACGTTTTAACAAATCATCAGTCCCTCGTAGCAAGGAGGACTCTCACCAGGAATACAGCCTGTGGCAAGAGATTACACATGGAGAGACGGTTGTGTCTGCAAATACTACACAGTTCTGGCTGACCAGGAAACACTCCTGCTGTTACCATCTGCCGTAGGCGTGTTGGAAAGATTTGCAGGTTGACAATCAATCTCTGCTGTGTGAACACACGGATCTATGCCCCTCAAATTCTGGAGCTTCTGGCACGCAGGCAGGGCCACCAGCCACAAGATCTCCTGTGTTTTAACAAATAGAGAATTTGGAAACGTGTTTCCACTCAGTTTTTCTCTCTGTTCTCTGATTTTTGTTTGAGTTCCAAATCCAAGGGCACTGTCAGCTGTCTGATATTTTCTTCATGTAACTGTCAGCAAGCCGTTAGACTTCAGAGAGAAGAACAACTAAACCCATTCCTGTTCTCATCTGATTATCAAATGTGTAATTGTTCAGAAAGCATTACTTGAAATAACCGCCCCCGGTTTATGTTCTTCCTCTGTGCTACAGGTGACTATAGCGCTCTATTGGTTTCTGAGGGCTGTTAGCAAACTCGAACATAAAGCTGACACTTTCTCCATCACTTGAAGTAAATTAAATAGTGCCAAAAATGCATGAATGTCCAGGACACGGGTTTTTTTTTAATGCAAGTTCTACGTTAATGCACACCTTGCATTTTTGAAGTGTTCGGATGCAGTTGAACACATACTGCTGTTCAGATGTGTTAGCTTCCACCTCTGGAACAGGTGGAATTTGGACCCAGGCTTTCTAGCTCAGATTGGACATAACCACTGTACCACAAGAGTCCTCAGACACTTCTTGTATCTAATGACGTTGCCTGCAATTACAGAAGTATTAAAAGTCCAAAGAATATTTTCAGGAACTTGTTGACAAATTCCCTAATGATTGTGCAATACATAGAAAGGCTGGAAAATTGACAAAATGTAAATGTTTATATATTTAGAACTAGCAAATAAATATTGTGTTGATATCGCATTCTGATTCATCCCAAAAGTTATGGTGCGGTTCATCTTCAAGACTGCATTGACAAATAAAAATGTCCCCAAGATAATGGAAGCTAAAGCAAAAAGATTGATTGCTCATCTCTAGACAGAGGAGAAATTGTTCTTGAGTCAGTGACAGATATAAGCAGATTATCAGAGTGGTAAAGTGAACCCAGATTGCTCCTAATCTGAAATCAAACGTATCTTTAAATTGAATACCATCTAACACCATAAAGCTTATTTTTCTTCTATTCCATAGCACAAGAAGCAGAAGGGAATAGATGTACATCATTGGAAATGAATTTTTTTTGTTTTTTTGTTTCTAAGACAGTTTCATCATGTACAATCTGAGATGTCTCTGTGAAATGCTTTTACAGTTTATCTTTTGTAAAGACAGAAGAAAATGTGGGTTAACTCTGTATCAAACGCACACACTTACACGCACACAACAGGAGGGCAACTAGAGAGGGAGTAGGGCCCCCTACAACTATTGTCTTTGTGTTGAACCTCAGGAGATGGCAGAGATATTAAATGAATGTTTTGCATCAGTTTTTGCTGTGCAGAAAGAAATGGAGGCTAGAGAACGCAATGAAATAAATATTGATGTTTTGAAAACTGTTCACATTACAGAAGAGGAAGTGCAGGAGATCTTAGAAAATATAAAGGTGGATAAATCTCTGGGACCTGATCTTGAGTGTTCCAGGACATTGTGGGAGGTTGGGGAGGATTTAGCAGGGTCCCTTGCAGAAATATTTGTCTATCATCTACAGGTGAGGTACAGGATGACTGGAGAGTGGCTGATGTGCCTTTGGGTAAGAAGGGATGTAAAGAGAAGCCTGGGAACTATAGACCTGTGAGTCTGACTTCGGTGGTGGATAACTTGTTGGAGGGGTTTCTGAAAGCTAGGATTTATATGCATTTGGAGAGGCAAGGAATGATTATGGATAGTCAGCATGGTTTTGTGCAGGGAAATTGTGTCTCTCAAATTTGAGTTTTTTGAGGAAATAACCAATAAGATGAGGGCAGAGCGGTAGATATTGTTTACTTAAACTTTAGTAAAGTGTTTGACAAGATTCTGCATGGTAGACTAATTAGTAAAGTTAGATCACACGGGATTCAGGGTGAGCTTGCCAACTGGATACAAAATTGGCTTGATGGTCAGAGACAAAATGTGGTGGCGGAGGGTTGTTTTTCAGACTAGAGGCCCATTCCATAGGGATTAGTGCTGGGTCCACTTTTGTTTGTCATTTATATAATTGATTTAGAGAATATAGAAGGCAAGGCTAATAAGGTTGTGAATGACACCACAATTGAAGGTATAATGGAGAGTGAAGAAGATTATCTAAGATTACATCAAGATCTTGATCAATTGGGCTGAGGAGTGACAGATGGAGTTTAATTTGGATAAATGTGAAGTATTGCATTTTGGTAAAACAAAATTAGGGCCTTGGGTGGTATTGTAGAACAGAGAGACCTAAAGGTTCAGGTACGTCATTCTTTGAAGTTTGCATCACATGTAGACAGGGTGGTTAAGAAGATGTTTAGTATGCTTGCCATCATTGCTCAGACTTTTGAGTATAGAAGTTGGGACATCATGTTGAAGTTGTACAGGATGTTGGTAAGGCCTGTTCTGGAGCAGGGTGTCCTGTTCTGGTCGCCCTGTTATAGGAAGGACATTATTAAATTGGAGTGGGTTCAGAAAAGATTTATTAGGATGTTGTTGGGAATGGAGGGTTTGGGTTATAAGAAGAGGCTGGAAAGACTGGGATTTCTTTTCACTGGAACGTAGGAGATTGAGGGGTGACCTTACAGAGGTTTATAAAATCATGAGGGGTATAGGTAAGGTGAATGGTGGATGTCTTTTCCCTAGGGTGGGGGATTTCAAGATTAGGGGGCATATTTTTAAGGTGAGAGGAGAAACAGTTTAAAAAGACATGAGGGGCAACCTTTTTACATAGACAGTGATTCATGTGTGGAATGAACTTCCAAAGGAAGTTTTAGATGCGGGTACAGTTACAACGTTTAAAATGCATTTGGATAAATACATGAATAAGAAATTTTTGGAGAAATATGGGCCAAGCGCAGGCAGGTGGGACTAGTTAGTTTGGGATTATGATGATCATGGGCTGGTTGGACCGAAGGTTCTGTTTCTCTGCTCTGTGACTCTATGACACGGATCCTATGTTAACATCCCTTGGGTGAGACTTGATTAATTAGATATTGGGTGGTGAAAATGTTCTCAATATCACAACATGCTTGTAGATAGAAATACAGCATGGAAATGGATCCTTTGGTGTACTTGTCCATGCCAAGCAAGTTTCCCAAACTGAACTAGTCTCACCTGTCTAAGGTTTTGGAGTAGACTCACTTGCCTGCATTTGGCCCTTATCCTTCTAAATTTTTCCTATTCATGTATCTGTCCAAATGTCTTTTAAATGTTGTAACTGTACCTGCATGTGCCACTTCCTCTGGCAGTTCATTCCACATACGAACTGCCCTCTGTGTGAAAAAGTTTCCCCTTAGGTCCCTTTTAAATCTTTCTCCTCTCATCTATGCCCCCTAGTTTTGAATTCAATCAATTTGACCCAATTGTACAAGATCCCATTGTAATCTTAGATCATCTTTTGAAGTTAAGATTATTCAACTCGCGTTGATTCATCTATCCAAAAATATTCTTCAATGGTTATGGGTCTTGCCTCTGCTAACTGAAATTTTAGTTCATATGTTAAGCACCAAGAAGAATTTGGTGCATTTTATTGAGGTACCAACCAAATTTTCTTCTAGTTCAACTCTCATAGCATGGAGAGGTAACAAGTGTCTGATAATATAGAA